CCAGATATTCGGGCTATCTCGATGTGACTGTGGGGCTGCCTTATCATTGAGAGATTCCGACTTTTGGAGACCAGGTTCAATTCCCACCCCAGCCTCCAGTGGAATAAAAGTTTTTGACAAGCAGAGAAAGTACGGGTTCGACAACGAAGTATCCTGAGCCATCGTCTAAAAGTAAACGTTAGCTAAAGGAAGGCAGGGTGGGGGTAAGATTGTGGAAACCTGCCCCTCCTGACCCAGTCTGGCCCTATACACGACTCCAGACCCATCTGTGGCGATGGGGGTCGATTCCTAATTGGGTCCCTCGGAAAGGGGCTCCAAGCGAGCGGACGTGGTCCATAGGGGCAAATAGGGATGGCCAACAGACACTGGCTTCCTCCCCTTCCCCCCCAATCCTGCAGTCATGTGGGGAAACACTGCACAGCAAGATCCCACACACCATTTTTTTTTGTTTGTCCTTAATATTACGACTGAAGGATCAATATTGTGCACCCCACCCTGCCTGAGGACACCGGGGTGCAATCCTCCAGACCACCTCTCCGCAACCCCCTCCACCTCCAGCTCCTCTCCCCCAACTCTCCCAAAGAGCCTCCACAACCTCCCCCCTCCACCCCCACCTTGACCACTCACCTTCAGTTGTGATTAAACACGGTACAGGGTTGGTTCAGAAATAAACACTCGGGGATTCCGCAAACAGACTCTCTTCAACTTCCCCCACCCCACCCCCCCACCGAGGTGGTGGGGTGGGGGGGTTGGGGATGGAGAGCAGTGAGGTGGAAGGTTCTGGAACGTGCTGTTCCCTCTCGACATTCTCACCCATGACATCACAAGGTGATGGTTGTTGGTGGAGGTGGAGGAGGTCGGGGGATGGTGGGGGGGAGGTGTGGGGGGGTGGGGTTGATGGGGGTGGTCAGATAGAGCACTGCGGACCCAGGGAACAGTGACGCACGCCGCTGCCGAACAGCTGGCACTGCCAGGGACCAGTGACTCACAGAGGGAAGGTGGGCCGGGAGGAAATCATTCTGCTCGCGGTTAAGGTGAGACCCCAGCGATGGGGGGGGGGCATCGCCCTCAGGCAGTATCCCACCCCCACCCCCACCCCCGGAGTGAGGGCAGGAAGGCAAGAGCTGGGCGTTTCATGGGGGGAGGGGGCACGGCCTGAGCTCAGGGCTTTGGGTGGCAATGGGGGAGGGGTAGGGATGGGGGTGGTGGGGGAGAGAGGGATAGAGATGGAGGTGGTGGGGTAGAAAGGGATAGAGATGGAGGTGGTGGGGAAGAGAGAGAGAGATGGAGGTGGTGGGGGAGAGAGGGATAAAGTTGGG